TATAAAGTAATAATAATAATAGTACTTTATTTGCCATAACCCAGAAAAAATGAGAAAAATACACAGGAAAAAAAAAGTAATAATGATCCATTTCGTGTTACAATTATTGCAGATTGTTAACATTATGTACTATGATTTTTTTTATTTAAAGTAACATTGCCCTTACTTTAGGATAAAATTACCCTGTGTTGTAAGGACGTTTTAAAAACATAAATTTCACGCGGACAAACACCCAGATTCGGAACAATTACCTGTGGGTCACACCCCACACACACACACAACTGGTAATTGTTGTGGGTCTCACAACAATTACCAGTTGTCCCGTGTGGGAATCGAACCCACTATCCTCGAAGCCGAAGAAGCCAATACCTTGACAACTACGCCACGGAGTCATCATCTAAATATTGATTATATTTGATTGAATATAATACATATGAATTTATTATTTATGGGTAGCATATTTCGTTTTACATACCTTAAGAGTACGTTAAAATATGACGTTTTTTCCGCATAAATGTAGCTTTGTTAACATCGAAATTAATAGTCCGATACATGTACTGAACGGGTCACACGAGGTGTTGACGACGGCTCAGATATAAAGCCGATAACGATGTGTCGGCATCGATAAGAGCATTAAACGATTTTTAACAACGCCTTTATAAAAACACATTAAATGTACATAGTATACGGTTTTATGATTATAAGTATTGCTACTCTACGTACAAATTAATCAAGTATTAATTAATTTTGCCATTCCTATGAAAAAAAATAAGATGTGATTTGTGAAGTTTAGTCGTAATGCCCCTTTGGTCCCGTAAAATTGTTTTAGACCTTTGTTCCTATGATTATTGCTAAAACTGTGTACATTAAGGATTAAGTTACGCTTGCAGTATTAAAATGGGAACGTTCATCGCGTTATTCACGATATCGGCGCGACAGCGGTGTCGTTTCGTGGGTCGGCATTTTTATCGGACCCTAATTAAGTTCGCACCGGAGGTCGGAGGGTTGAATCGCGTGAAGGCAAAAACTGTCCAAGTGCGAGTCGGATTCGTGCATGAAAGGTCCCGTACCGTTATCAATAAAAACAGCAAAAAATCATGTCTGTTATATCGTAGCCGACTTAAATATTTTTTTATTTTCTTTTTTTGGTATTTGTTGTTATAGCGGCAACAGAAATACTTCATGTGTGAAAATTTCAGCTGTGTAACTGTCACGATTCATGATATACAGACAGGTGACAGACGGATAGACAGACAGTGGAGTCTTAGTAATAGGGTCCCGTGTCACCCTTTGGGGACGGAGCCCTAAAAAACGCATCGCGCCGTATCGCCGCTATTGGCACACGCGAGCGAAGGGCCGGCGAGCGACTTGGCGAGACGGTCGTCGGCCGTAATGAGATAAACACGAGTCGAGAACAAAAAGCCCCGCTTTAATGAGGCCCCGCGAGAACGCACATTAGCGATATTACACGAGGGCCCGCGTCTGACCGGTTCCGCTCGCTTCGATATCCATTAAGGCCTCGTTTCAATCTCTTTATACCTTTTGAATACTAATTGAATTAAAGCAAGCGCCTCGGTTACGTTACTTTTTTGTTTTTTTCCCGTATCACCACGTTAAATCTATTAAGTGCTTTCGACACCTGTACAAAACTGTGTGGCGGTCGTTAATCGTTCCCGGCAATTGAAAGAAAGAAGAGTAGTTGGTTAAATCATTAAAATAAATGCACTTCTTACATGGTAATTTTACGCAATTCGTAAGGCAGATTTCGCTTTCTGTAGTGCTCAAAACATTTTCCACTTTAAAGAACAGTTACATAACTAGTCTCTTCTTAAGGACTGATAATGACCGCAGAGAAAAGTATCATGTCCATACATAAATACTACTTACGACGTTTATTCAGTCGTTTAATGGAGTAAGCTCGGGTCAAATTATATGTTTGTGTCGAGAGAGTCGGTTAGAGCGAGGGGGGAAAGGGGGGAGCTAAACTTGTCCCGGTAGCCAATTAAAGCTCCCAGCTCGGAGCTGGCAGATGACTTACTTAACGACCGGCTATTAATAGACGATAACTTTGATAAGTGATACAGATTAGACACCATATAAATAAACACAAGATACACCGATTAGACGTGGAACGAGTTAGCGAGTGTGGATGTAGGGAGATTAAACCCGCTCTTAACTGGCTTAATAATTAAGACGTAGTTAGAATTAATTGTTCATGTTAATATAATTGGCAGGTGGAGTTAGATTATAACTATATAAATGTTACGACAAAACTGAGTTTGAACTAAGTGAGAGACTTTAAGCGATAGTCAGTTGAAAACTAACCGTTAATACATTTATTTAACTGTCCATTTTGAAAATTACTAAACTATCTGATTATTTCAATGTTCTCCTTAGTCGAAGTTATACAAAATGATTTAAAGCGAGTGAAGCTTATTTCATTTAATTTTGTTTCAGAACTGCGACCGCAATTTGTCCGAGTAAATCGAAAAGTTTTCACCCGTCGGTGCACTTGACTGTCTAAATCTAAATCGCAACGCAAACACTCAGTTGGAGTCAAAACTACCAATTAATCCGGCAACCGCACGTTCCGTCTCCCGTGCAATATTAAACTTCTCAAGCGGGAGTCTTCTCGATCGAGTTTTGTTATGTGTGAGTATTGTTATGTTTTAACACCTGAAGTGTAGTGCAAAAGTAATAGTAATATAATAAAATGCAGCAGTAGTCAGCGCTAATGTCCATAACATAAGCTATAGACATTAAATTTCCCATAAAGCCTGTTACCATGACGATGTGTTCGAAACATCGGTATTTTAATAACATAATTCAACGCTAAAAAAATTAAAAAATAATAATTAAATTGTTTGATTTCACGTGATGGATGATACGCATTATTACAAGAAATTACTATACTTATTTTTTTAATAATAGAATATCATAAGATATTCGCTTAGATATCGTCAAAATATTAATATGATTGAATTCTACGTTACCTTAACCTCACCGGAGCGTTTATGGCCCACTGTGATATACAGTAAGTAAACCGTAGTCGTCAGCAGTATAGTAGAGTGGTATAAAAGTAGTTAGACATATAAATCGCACATAAGATTGGGTGGCAGGCTGTAAAAATGCCGTGTCTCTTAGATTTACGATAAAACCGAGAAGGGTTTGCTGATCCGCTCACTTTTTTAACTTTTATACACATTATTTGTTGAAATCTGCGACTGTTTTTATTTCTTTTTATTATGAAAGCTACGTTATTTTTTTAGATTTTCGCGTAATTAAATTCTGGCGCCTCTCTAAGTCCAAGTAAAGGCCGGGCACCTGGTAACCCTACCTGACAGCTCGCCGCGTCCCGGCGGTTCGACTAACTTAGATTACTTCATAATAATTCTCTGGAATTTCACTCCCAGACGGAATACACAAATTGGCTTTTGTCACGGAGTTGCTAAATTATTAATGGTCTAGTGCGGTCGGAGTTATGGGGGCGATAGACGAGGCACACTTTATCAAGAGTTCGCCGTGGCATGCTTATTTTCGCTCGTCCCCGCCCGCTAACGATCGTGAACAATTTACGACGTAAATAAAGACCGCTGAAACTTGAACGGTTACTTCTTATCTTCATCTTCCACCGGCGGACGGATGCTCGTTTCGTTCCGCTCGCGATACTTGATATATTTTATGGCTGCGACAGCGGAACCGCAATATGGAATCATAACGCTCGCGGCGAGAGGCGGCTAAAAAGACAAAAAACTCATTTTCCACGATCACGTGTAGGGGCGGAGGGGCAATAAAAAGAAAGTTCACCGTATTAGCTAGACGCGGGATATCTTTCCATACGTCAAAAACTTTTCCATTTACCGGCACCGCTCGCCGATTAACTTTCGAGTGCGCAAACTTCTTGAGTGGATTCTCTTTTGCTCCACGCTAATTAGAAAACAAATACAGTGCTTAGGGCGATCGAAACGAATAAAGTAAGAAAAAACAGAGAAGCGAACATGCCGGGTAACTAATCAGCGAAAGACGGCACGCTCCGCAGCAAGTTTGGACTTACCACTATACGTAATGGAGTGGGTATGTGATCCTTTTTCTGAAATAATTGGACGAAACAAAAAGGGCACGGGCATTCTCCGGTTGGGAGTTGAATAAAATAAGGCGCGAAGTGCGGATCGGTCGGGTGGCGGTACGGGCCGCATGTTTAAAATATACTCGTGAACTTAGCCGCTAGCTAATTAAACCCCTGGCGGGTAGCACCCACCATGTGAAAATGGTTTCGCGGCTTACCTGTTTAGCGTGCCACTTTAATTGATGCTAATTGATTCGCCACGTACTAATAATAATTGCAATTAGATTTCCATGTTATTTTAAAAAACTGTTATCGTTGTTTAATGTCGTGATCTACAATAAACGCGATAAGCGCTACTATTCAATTACGTTATCACTTTAATTGTAGCGTTCGTGACAGGCGCGATCCGTTTGAGCGTTCATTCATTTTGAAGCTTAAATTCTGTAGGCATTAATTGTTAAAATTTCTCATCTTATTATTGTTCGCACATATTTACGTGGATATATATGTGGTAATGGTTATGTATGTAGTTGTGTAATGTGACAACGCATCTGCAACCCTACGGGTGTTGGTAACATCAGATGAGCCACCAGCTCACTTGCCACCTTCTCATATAAAAATGGTTGAAACCAAGAGAAGCCGATTTATTGAGTAAATAGACGAATACTAAAGTCGTCCTATATCAAGGATTGCAAGTAAAGAAAGAAAAAAAGAGAAAGGGGTATATTTAACATAACACGGAGTGACGTACAATATACTCAGTTATAATTATAGTAAAATAAATGCATATATATACCCATATATAACATAAATCTCCAATATGTATATTTTTACTTTTTTACCAAAAAGGTCATCGCCGAGAAGAATGTTGCAGTGAAAACTCCAACGTTCATTTTCAGTGACGACCAAGTAGAAGTACCTACACGTGTAAAGCATGAATAAATACGAGCACGACCTGGGTGTCATCGCACGCCACTGGCGCAACGCAGTGGCAGCGCTAAGCTCTCGGATTGCTTCAGTGGTTAAAGGCGCTCCGCACTCAAAGCACGTTGACACGCGTTTATCAGAGCGTGGGGGCGCCACAAACGGAATCGCAGAGCGCGTCCCGAGTGAGCGACTGATCCGTCGAGAGATATCTCGACCTCGGCGTCGAGTGCCACCACTCACCCGCCTACGGATAATTACTACTCTTTGACGGAGCGTCTTTGTCCCGCGTACGCTTCCGAAGTGGCTGACTGTTGTTTCTTTTTTTGTTTCTGCAGCTCGCACCAGGTGTCGTCGGCGACCCTAATTGTTCGTAAACGACCATTCGATATTTGAATTTAAAGCGGCAGTTTGAATTTTTGTATGTCTATGGAATCTTTACACTTCCAGTTTTCCGATAAAATTGACGAAAAACAGTTAGTCGTGAGCGTGGTAAAAGTAAAAACAACTAATCGCCCGTCACTTAATAAGTGAAGTTAGTCGCTCTTCATAAACATGATTAAAGGGGGAACTAGAAAATTGCAAAGGACGCCAAAAACAATTTCAACTTTGCACCGTTGCAAGTTGGTCTCAAGTCGGGCCGTGTTTGTACTAGAGAATAATACGGATCTCAAAAGTTTGCAAGCAGGAAAGCTTGCGGGCGATAAACGGGTAGCGAAGTGCAGGGTGGGGGCGGCTTGTTATTACACTCTCTCACCTACGCGAGGGGTTTCTACTCAGAGCCGTACTGTCGCCCGAGATTAAGACGCTCCTCGGTTCCTGTTAACGCTGCGGTTTACGTTCTGCACATTCTCAATGACCTCGAGTGCTCTCAGCTCTTTCTGATCACCGGATTTAAAGGCAATCGATCGAATATTTCCCGTTTGTCTTGCTAACAAGCCGTCTTGAGCGCAGTTCAAGTGCGAAACTCTCGAACAAAAGGACCAATGAACTTGACGTGTCGGATGAGAACACCGATTTTTGTATTTCGAACGTTGTATTACATTTACACGTTGTATCAGTTCAGAAAACAAATTAGGAGGGAAGAAAATGGCGATAAGGAGGAAGTGAAATAAGTTTTACGAAACGGTTGAAAGCATTATCATTGGCTTCGAGCTAGAAACAAAGAAAATGGTGGAGAGCGAACGTACGAGAGTACTTTATAGGCGCGTAAATATGTTTTATATCCTTCTAGTGTCTGTTATACAGTGGCGCGCCGCCCCACACCCCATCGGCCGCCCCACCCCGCCCGTGGGCTGCCTCGCTCTCGGAAATGCCGAGCTTTAATAAAACATATATTTTTCCGAGCGAGGAAAATACTGGGGAAACTCGCAATTTGTTCTTTCACTTTATGCTCGTTTACAAGACAAAAGTGGAACATTCCAGAAACATTATGTTAATCACGTAGTTATGTACGTAGTTTATTGTAATTTGTAAATAAAGCCGTTTGCGGGTGTTTTATGTGGCTTTACGGTGTAAGCACTGCATTACGATGTGTTGGGAGGTGTTAAAAGTCGTAAAGAGTGTGGTGGACGGTGGGGTGGACTTGTGTAGTCGATGTTATACACATTGTAGTAGCAATTAATAGTGACGCGATGACCCTTATCTTGCGTGCCTCAGCAGAGCGGCGGTCGTGGGCGATTTATTACGGCACGGCACGCCGCCGGAGCGACCCTCCGACTCGAAGGCTAATTATAGCACACCCTAAACCACGCGACACTATCAATTCAACATATTAATCTGAACCGCAATCGGGGGCCGATACGGAAACGCTTTCCGTCAAACGCCGAGCACTTTTAGTGATTCGAAGCTATGCCGAGTTGATTAGGTACAACGGATTCAGACCAAGGAGGCAGAAAGTTGATAGAACAAAGGTAGCAATTAAGATAATGTTGAAAACAAATTTATATTCCGGATCCGTGGGACAGATTAAATTATTTTCTTGTTGGCTCGAGCGTTATAAAGGGCCGTAACCGACTGTTGAACGAGAGGGAGTGAGGGAGCGTTACGTGTTTCACAGAGACCGCATTCTCAACGCCAGACTCCGCGACATAAAATATTACACTAAATGAAAGAAGCTCTTTCAATTAACTGAGGCGGGTTTGCGTAAGGTAAATTCTGCTAAGAGCCGCCTGCTACTGCAACGTTGGAGTTTCTCCTTTGGTGATATTTAGGTGTGCGCGGAATTTATTGAATGACTTTTTGAATTGCTTTATTAATCCCGTACTTCTTTAAATCCAAACTGTTTTAGCTAAGCCAAAGTAGGTAAAAAAGTATGTGTGTTTTTATGTACCCAAATAAGAAGTTATTTATTTATTTAAGATATGGAGGACTTACTAACCCTAAACTAGATGACAAACAGCCAATAACAAGCCTTCACTTATAGAAATATTATAGTTATATTATAGTAAAAAATTTACTCGCATAATTTTTCCAAGCACACCGAAAGAAGTATAACTTCTAAAACATAACCTTTTGGTGTTTTTGTAAATAGATTGAATGCATGGAAAAAATTATGTTAGGCAGAAGTCGATTTGTATTCATGACTTTATTAATGTTCACCAAATTTTCTTTGACGTATTCGGGTTGCGCAAACTCCGCAACTTTGGGTCGGGTCTAATCGACTAGAAGTGATATACCAGCTGATGAATGACGAAGAAAACTTTGTGCTTATTCTTTGGGAAACTACGTATTTCATTATATGAAAACGTGAATAGGTAGTAGAAGGGAGAAAAAATATTTTGCTCTTTAACTAATCTACAGAGATGCGTAGGTAAGCTTGGAATTTTGTGGATTAACAAATTGTAGAGGAGTATAATCGAACAGCGCTAAAATACACATGAGATTAAGAGCCAATACAGATTAAAAAGGCAAATAATGGTCGGTGAAAGTAAAAAAAAAACAAACGTCGGCAGCCAGCATAACTTATGAATACGGGGTCCCGGCGAGCTGTGGTTAGGTTGGGTTGGTCAAGCACGAGCTCTTGTTATTGCTAAGCTAATAACAGGGACTCCCAGTTTGCGCAGAATCGAGCCCCTCGAGAACATTCTCCTATGCAGGAATGCAAAAGGTTTTTAGGACTGTTCATGCATTCTGACTGTACGTGGACCTTTAAAAGTAGACAATCATCATTCTATATGTAAAAATAAAGGAGATATTTGGTTGAACTTATTTTTGTATCCAGTTAATAGATGGAATGAATAAGTATAAAGCTAAACAATTGGACTTTAACGTTGCATCAGTCACAGGGCCCGTTGGAATTATTTGATAACGAAAAGACGAACTTTAACAAAAGCTTGTTAAATATTATTAATATAGCAATAGTTAAAAAAACTATGTAACTCAACAGTTAACTAACATAGTTTTTTAACTATTGCTAAATTGCTGACATAAAAATGCTTAAAAAGCGGTGCTCGTCCCTTGAAGCATTTTTTTCTTAATTTTTTTGCTTTAAACGGAGCGTTTGCGCAATAACTCGTAGATGCAAGAGGATTATTAACAGTTAATTAAATAAAATAAAATTGGGATGAAGCGAATCAATTAGAAAAATTGCGTGAAATTGACGAGCATTAAAATGCTAATACGAATACAGGTTTTGTTACAAAAAAAAGCGATATGGTCGCTATTTACATATCAAAGTGGCGACATCGTAGATTAGGCCGTGCTAATAGTTCAAAAACCCGTCGAATCTATGACATATAGGTTCTTAGGTAAGTAAATTTATTATCGGACGATAAATAATTGTGAACATTTGTCTTGTCAAATCGGCCGATATTTCGTTTTTCATTTTTACGTCGTATTAGGGAGCAGGGTATATTGAAACCACAATTGTAGTTTATTTATAAGCCGAAACTTTTAATAGTTAGACGCTTGTCCGCCGCCAATCTGCTGTAGGTATTGGAATAAGCTCTGCGCACCGCAAAGGAGTCTCCCGGGACAATTTAATTAATCAACACAGCGCAGAGAGTGAGGCTGAAACTGATTTCCTCCTCAAATATCCATTAGCCGGTGTTACTGTGCCACTTAGATCCGCCTGTGTTTAACAAGTGTTCGCGGCGCGCAACTCGGGCGTGTAACGCGATTTCGTGTTACGAGATAACTTAGTTTATGGTGCCTATATTATAACTGCAGCGGGATGCGTTTTACGGCCGATTTCAATATTCTATCCATCTGTATTTTGGTTAGTGGAGATAGATATTTGTTGTAAGTATTTTGGAGCTAATGTCAAATACCAATCGCTAGTAACCACCGTACTAAATCTACAGATAGAATATTGAAATCGGCCGTAAAACCATAGGCGTGCTCGAAAGCTTCACGCACCCGCAAAAATATTGCGCAATAGTGTTCGTTTGCACACGTCTATGGTATAACCAGTCGTAACTATGTTATGAAAACTATCGAAACGCGAAAACAATACGCCGACGTCATTATTCGGCATCTTCCGCAACAATCGCCCATGAGCCTATGTACGGGGCCAACGTAGTTATAAGTTAGTTCCGGATCCTAGTTCAAAGTTTGGATCGCTTTTCGCATCGTATGGAATTGAGTGAAAAACTAACGCAGAGCACTAAGCGATGCCCTTGATCGTGTTTGTAATCGTCCAATGCGATAACACGCACGCCTGTGTGGGTGACGAATTCACACAGGCACAGGGGAGGAGCAGCCACCGACGGCAAGAGGTCTAGCGGGCACTCCGCTACTGCGTCAATCTTGCAATTACGAAACGGCGCGGCGGCGCGTAATCAGCGCCCTTTGCGACGTCGACACGCGCCGGAGGGCGCTCGACGCTCGCAACTCGAGCTCTACACTCGGGCATTTCACAACCTGTTGACGAGTCAGTTGAGCTCCGACAACGTGAGCGGTCCGCACAAAGGGCGCCTCGCTAGCCCGTTCAGCCGCCGCCCCGCCGCGACGCTGACCCCGCTTAGAAACGCAACGAATAACTTATAAATTGGACTTGCGTAAGGGATTCTTTGACGGCTACTACGGTATTGGCGTGATTTACGCACGGACCGTTCAATCACTCCTAATTCTCAGGTTACTTATTTATTTTTAAATTCGATCAATTGTGCTGCACGTGTACATGTCGATAAAACGTACGGGATGAAAAAAAATTATCGCCAACAATATTTTGGAGATAGAAACACATTCATAGGATTATATGGAAACCTCATCGATAAAATTTGCCCCGAAGCGCTCACGGCTTCGTACAAGTTCTTTATACGTTTAACAAATTACAAAATACTATGTAATGCGATTACGCGACGATGGTTTCCGCCTTGAAGTAATCCGTTAGTTGGGATCGTTGTTAGTCATTAAAATACGTAGACGTTAATTAATATGTAAGTTAGCGAGTGGCGGAGTTTTCACCGTGGAAAAGATTAACCCCGACGCGAGTGAGTCCCGGTAATAAACCCCCGGGGAGCGAACAACTTCGCCACTTACATTACACGGACATTTATTCCCTACGCCCGGTTTCAACTTTTCGCTCGCAAGGAGTTGAGGACCGCTTTAATTAATTTACGCGCTTCGCAAATATCGTTGGAAACTCACTCGGAAAAGTTCGCAGAGAAATAATATTTATTTTGTTTACCTTGTCGTCGTCGCCTTCACTATCACACTGCAAAAGAGAGACAATTATGCATTAGTAATGACAAACTGAGGTAAATACGCGAGGAACTTAAAGCTCTGATGCATGCGTAAAATGTTTTACCAAGCGAAATTTTGGTTCACTACTGTTTGTTAAAGAAGAGAATGAGAAATTTTTCAACGTTTGGTAAATAGTATACATGATGTTATCATGAAGAAAAAAAATAGTTCGTGTTATGAGGCACCACAAAAACATGTATGTATAGTATACTATGTAGTAAGCTAGCTCCCTGTTAGCCAAACCACCGAAATGGAAAAATATCAATCAATATACAAATTGTTCGCGAAGAAAGTCTGCCGTCGTGCCGGGGGCGAAATAATCCCTAAAATATTTACGAGCCAACTCCGCGCCGAGGGAAACAAGGGATCAGGCTGAGATATTACAATTTCAAATAAATACAGTGCATGAAGTATTCAGGGCGGGCGGGGCGCGGGTTGTGTTATACAGTGCGGGGCGGCACCGCCTCGACAAATCTCGTGATTTACCTGCTTCTATACGAGCCGAATATCGAACGAGGGCCGTGTCGTGGCGTCGCGTGATCGGAGTAAATTTGCAAACGGTAATCGAAAATTATGGCTTTCACCTTTAAACAACTCGTAAAAGCGTTCACGGTTCGCCGGGCGAATGGGAATGGCTAACTAAATGATACATTATTGGACTCTATTGAGGCGCGGAATGAATATCGGATACGTGCTCGGTCCGCCCTCCCGTCGTTTATTGATATGTATCAAAGTAGGTCTCGTCTTCGACTATGGGAATGTCCCATTGGAGTACAGTCACGTCACCGGTACAGCACTTAGGATTACATGATTTGAAGGATAAAGAGTGAATTCAGAATTAGTAGAAGGAGATAAGAAATGAAACCCGCCAAACTTAATGCATGCTTCCCGCGTAAACGTAATAAAACTCGGTGGTATAAAGCAAAGCCGATGGACGCGTGACACATGCCGAAGGAGCTTGTACACTAGAGGATGACAACAATGAGGATACTCACGATATAGCCTTTTCCGGAACTACAGCGGCTACTGGCCTGTAGGCAGGAGAGAGAAGGCGAACATATGAGTGGGTTGGACTGACTGAGGTAGGTAATTTCACCCGTCTCTCCCTTGTACTTGTAGTTTAATTAAAATTTTTAGAATTGTGCTAATAATATGCCGATTAATCGCGTCAGACGCATCGCAATTATATTAATACGAGAGAGGCGGGTTGGAGGATTGCAAATAATTTCGGACAAACATCAACTGAAATAGTATTAAGATATCTAACATCTAGGGACAGTCACAACATCGAACCAAACGAGATCGTCATTGGCATGCATTGGAGCTGAGAATGTATATTACGGAATCGAAACTAAAGCAAAAAAAAAGAAAAGATCAGAGCGTTATTGTCCATTAAGAATTGAGCTCTGCGTCAGATCGGTATGTTGGACTTAGCGTCTAGACTTTGGGGTCGGATATCGCTAGGCTGGTAATGTCGTACAGCGTTCGGGACGTGGCGTGGTTCTTTCGGGACTGGTCGGGTATACGTACGTCGCTAAGACGGTCGCGCGAGGAGTCGGGGTCGCGTGGCGCCACCGAGCTGCCCGTGAGGCGTTCAGATGCCCTTCCACTGTCATCCGACGTGCCAGCGTCTTGAAGCAGCGTAATGCCCTGCACAAGAAGCACGTAAAGTAGAAACATTCTATGCACGTCTTACGGCGGGCCGAGGGGCCTCGGCCCTCCAGCATCGAATGAATGTGAAAGGCATTTTGTTTCATTACACTGACACAATTGTATGAACTCGAAAACGTTTGCTTTGTTGCCAATATTACGGCGAAGGGCTGAGGGCATCATTATCAAGTATGACAGCTCTCGTAAAAGAAAGCCCATTAGCGTCTAGTAGGAAGTGGGAAATTATATTATCACAAAGTGCTTTATTAAATGTCCGTTGCGGTCGTTTACATTAAATTCACCATTTAGTATAATGAACGATAAGTACGTGCACCAATAGCGTCGTATATTACAGTATAATAAGACAGTAAATTTGTTTTAGCTACACGTTCAATTTGTACTCGCATCACGTAAACATTACTAAGCGGATCTAAATGGATGAATTCGTTCCGTTGTATTGCTTTGTATTCGAGGGAGACTGAGAGAATGTTCATCTTAATACAGCAGATTTACTGTTAGGATTTTTGAATAAGACTTTTACTTTAAACTATATTGAGTTGAGACGTATATTTGATTAACTTCTTATTGTTATAAAACTAATTGATATTTAATAATGATAGAACACCGGACATCGCAGTATCAAAACATCAGCTTTTCCGCCAACAGATTGTGAAAGACAAAGCTAAAAGCGTCATACACTCGAACCGTTGCCGTGTGTACCGAGCGATACTTTCACTCGGTAAGAGGGTGAAATTCTATTAGATGAGGGTAAAAGGAGAGCTCTTTATGTAGGCTCGCAAAATTGAGCGGTAACTAGGATATAAGAAAACTTGATAAGGCGGACCGGGATGGCCGTAGAGCGCGGGCGGGAGGCTGCCGGCCCATAACGTCGCTTGGCCGGGTCCCGGACAATAAAAAGAGTCCTCCATTTATCACATTTCGCGTCTATTTTACGGTGGGGTTCGGAAAGCGCGCTCGGGGCCGGGGAGCCGGGAGTGGCGCTCGACGGGACGGATAAAGGAAAATAAAACGACTAGTAACTCCCCGTAAACGGATAACTCTCCCCGCCGTGCCCGCTCAATGAACTTTCACAATTCGTTACGGGGCATCGCGTATGTTTTGATTTGGGTGTCCTGAGAGATTTCCTCAAACGTACGGGAATTATTCGCGCATCAGATTCGACTCATGCGCGTATTAAAAACAACATTGAGGATAACAGCGATAAATATTTTCTCATGGCTTTCATAAATTGTATAAACATATTAAAGGAGACGGTAAAAATATTGGAAAATAAGAAGCAGACATTACTAAATGAAAATATATAGTATTACCAAGAAAAAAGCGGACATTGAACATTAATGCGCAATTTGATTTCTGAACACGTTTAAAATTCACCCCAATCATTATTCAATGAAGCAAGCTCGAAACAAAATCACAGTGCCGGCAGGGAAGGGGGAGCGTCGAGGCATAAATTTGTTAATGGCGCCTTAAGTAGTCACCGGGACGCAATAAAAGTCGAACGCGTCCCGTATGGCAACAAGGCAACAATGAGCTGTACGCGCACGATTAAACCCTCAATCCCAATAAAAGGGATCGCCTCTCGACCCTTCGCGGAGATAAGCTCGGGCTGAGCCGAGTATCAATTTAATCTAGCGCCGCGGAAGCCGACAAGATCCCATGATCCGTCGCGGGCGATGCCGGATGTTGCCACATAATTGCGGTCCCTCATTACGAATGCGCTTTAATTACAATGGACGTCTACGCCACATTCCCGCCTCGTATTAAATGCTTGTTAATAAGCTTTCGTGACACCTAGCGCGTTCGCCGCTTAATGTTGTGTTATGATAATAGGTTTGAATAGTCGACGGAGCTCAACGCATAACGGTGCCCATGTAATATAATGTTAGTCGTATTATTTATTGGTAGTATTTGGAAAAGGTTACGAGATGATGTAGTACATTCTTTTTACATAGATTTTTTTTTCCTGAACTTGTTTTATTTCAATTATAAATGTTGTTCACTTTAATGTAATTGCTTAATTAATATATTTACAAACTTTAACAGCCTGAAAATTTTGCAGTATTTGCATAGGATTTGTTCTTCTTATTCGATCACAATTTACTAAACTCCAAACTCATTTTCTAGAGAGATGTATAATTTTTTTTTATTTATTTATTATGTATTATAAAATTATATTTACCACCGGTAGATAGACTGTTACTGGGTAAGCACGATTTGGGGACTTTTATATACTGAGCGGGAAATGCTTACTATTAGCTGCTTCCTGCCACGAGAAGACAAGAAGAGCTAGTGTGTACTTATTTTTAAATGTTTTTACGAACCTAGATTGTATTCTAAGTAGATCTATTGTAGAGTACACATTACTGTCTGCACAGTATTTTAGTAATTTGGTATACTGAAGTGTTATTTTAAATAACTTCATTCGTACAAATTTAAATACAATATTGCAATTCCATGCGACATGCATAATTCACATTTACTGTTTGTCAAACTGCGTGCTAGTTTATATCTTTTAAAAAAAGCTATAACAATTGCGTTATACATCAACATATGACAAGCGGACATCATACAGATAAATAAACCAATAGTCGACCGAAAACGACGTGCAGTATCGTTAGCGTCGGTCCGACAGCGATGTAGGCTCACCGGCTATAGGGCGACCATTAAATCAGATTCCCCGTGACATATAGCCGGAGCCTTGTGGGTGCCGGAGGGCGGACCAGTGTGTGGGGGGGGGGGGGGGGGGGGGGGGGGACCGTCGACCGACGACACAACCGCTAATTGAAACAACGACCGCGCCAGAGCATTACTTATTCATGAGAACTCCATATGGCGGCGGAACGTGACCAAAGCGATAAATCATTCAATTATCGCGAATAGGCAGCCGACGTATGATATGATATTCACCTGAAAATATTCGGACCGACGAACACTACGATTCGGGCAACGCGTTTGGGTAAAAGAATGATTAGCTTCCAAAGTATTCAATGATGAATGTTAATAATAACTTAATTTTGTAAACTAATAAAACGTATTAATTTGGAAGTTATAACTTCTTAGTATTTTATACCGTTTAATTGATATATTATAAATAACGCGCAAAGAAAATGGTTATAAATATAAACTACAAAAAATTGTGACATCTATAAAAAGTAAGAAGCGCGATATGAGCGTGACCCATTTTGTGGTTTGTTTATATTTACTTTGTTCATAAATAATTTTGGGATAGTTGAAGATGTCATTTGTTATAAACCCCATCAAATATATAAAAGAAAAAATAAATTTGTGATAAATTTCCAGTACAAAGTTTATCGAATCAAAATAACTTCGAACAGCTCCAACATTAAACGACAACGAACGAAACAGTATAAAACGTGAAAAATGAGAACATCTGAAATGAATAAAATCTTTTAACGTGTGATCTTGTCATAGATAAAACTCTTAGTGATACAGCATGACAGTAATAAATGATGTTATTGAACAGCACAGATAACATTCGCAATAAAAATAAAACAGACTTAAGAAAAATTTGACAACTCTTCATTCGGCCTAAAGTACACTTGAGACAAATAATCTCCACAAGATTACAGTTTGAAACGAAGGATTTACAAGTCACGACAGATGTAATGACATAATATGAATATGTTTGACTTTTTTATTTACTAAGCGTTTATGTAAAATAGCAGAATGTGTGGCAGAACATTGTGTAAAGCAGGTGTTTATATGAAATAGCAGATTTGGGATCTACGACTGTGGGGTTCGAATCGGGGTGAAGTGCACTAATTCTTACATTCAAAAGTAGGTAATCAAACATTTCAGATAAATACCACATTATCACCGGACACTTTGGGACATTTTGGGTGATAAAAGCGTACTCCGTATACTCGAATATTATTAGACTAACGCCCGGTTTCTGAAACACTGATCATCGTAGAAGTCAACTAATCGGCTGTAAAATGGCTTTTCAAATCAGAATGATCTTTATGATCAGAATGATCAATTCAAAGAGTTTGACAAACCTTTTGGCAACTTAAATAACATTTGAAAAGCAATTTGACAGCTAATTAGTTGAATTCTACGAAGATCAGTATTTCAGAAACCGGGCGTAAATTTAATAAGCCAAAAATTGACGGTAGCCCAGGTAACTATGAAATTAAGGCGTAAACGCCTGATCTGTCCTTTGATCATGTCATCAGAACATTGATAAATTAAATCGCGATAAAATCGACGAGTCAGTTTATATACGGTATATAGTAAGCAGTAAACGAGCAGTAGCGTTTCCATAGGGAAATGTGGACATTGGCAAAACCGGAGGTGTGGTAGACGCATTGCCAGCGTATCAGCAAAGATATAATGGGCTCATTTGAAGGTAGCAAGTGCGCGTATGGGTAAGGTACGTGCGTAAGCTGTACGGAAAGCGTCACAAACGCAAATTTATCATTAACAATCGATCAGTTTGGTGCAGTGTTGTGTAGTCGAGAGCCTTAGCGATGAGCGTGGTCGCGGCGCGCCGGCGGAGTGCCGTTGCATAATTTATTTATGTCACGGCACGTTACTCTCGTGCTGGGACTTGTCAGCGATACTGTTCGCCCTAATTATCGCGTCGACTTCATTATTTAACAGCCTCTCAATTATTATCAGTGCTTTAATGAATATTAACAACAAACTATTAAGGCTGCACATTCAGTTTATGTATAACGAAACTCGCCAAGCAATAAAAGGAACTGCAATTATTCAACGGAACATTTATCTTTTCTGATTTGTATGTATAACGATTAATTACAAAAAACACAACTCAAACCAAACTCGTAATCGTAATAAAGGTATATTAACGAAAACACAATTTTTACGTATTAACGAAAACACAATTTTTACGTAACATCACTACATAGTATAAAACAAAGTCGTCCCGCAGTGTCTGTCCCTATGCTTAGATCTTTAAAAGTATGCAACGGATCTTGATGCGGTTTTATTTTACT